CTAATTAAAAAACTTCTGACTTTTGAAAAACAAAAAAGATGAAATTCTGATTTTGAAACTTGAATCTCCAAAAGTAGGGGTTGGTGTAATTTCCACTAGATTTAAAAACTTTTTTATGGATTAATCAAGACTTTGTTAAAATTTTGAATATTCAATATAGACTTGTATTAATATAAACTTTTAAAAGACCTTAAAAAGGTCAAGATATTAAATCAAGAATAGCTAAAAGTTCTCAAAAGTTACTGTATTCAAAATGTCAATAACTTTCACATACTAAATTTTAAACCAAAAGTGAAAATATATAATTACCATAAAAAGTCTCTCATTCATGACCCCCGAAATTTTAAAAGACTTTCACCAAAACCAAAAACGAAAGAAAATGTATTATTTCTCTTTCTTCAATATTTCTATTTTTTTTTTTCCTTTCATTATCCTAAAGCCATTATACAAAATATAATATTTTTTTGTTTATTCATCATGTCATTGTCATTCTTTTTTTAGTATTTCTATTTCCTTTTTTCTCTATCTTATTTTTCATCATTTACTCCTTTTTTCTATGGAAAAAAAATAACAATAGCAAATTAATTTTTTATAAGATCTCTCTCTCTCTCTCTCTCTCTCTCTCTCTCATCTTTTCCTCCAATTTTTTCATGGAAAAAGATCAATTTTAATTAATTTTATAAAAATATTATAATTAATTTTTTTATTACTTGTTTAATTAGTAACTTTCTACGAATTTGGACACTTGATAATATTTAACATTGGAGGTTTCTTTTCTTTCATCAAAGAGTGTCGTAATATTATATATATACATATATATTTTTTGGTTATTGTTTATTTTCCTAATTGAGGCGAGCTACATTTTATATTTATTTAAAATATTTTGATTGACATGAGAAATAATTTTTTTTTTCTGTGTGTTCTAAATAATTTGATCATACGAATAGAGATTTAAAATATTATTACACGTATAAATAAATAATTCATTAAAACAACTATATGCAATAAATTATATAGTCATACAACTTTATGCGCAAGATTTTTTTTGTTTTTTAAAATAAAGGTCTTTAAAAGTCAAATTAAATCTATATAAGTTTTTAAATAAAAGTCTATGAAAGACTTTCATTGATTCCGTAAAAAATCTATAAACGTTCATTAAACTCTACAAATGTCGATAAATGTTCGTTAAAATTATAAAAGTATTCACATAAAAAAAATCTAAGTCTTTAGAAGTCCAAATTGAATACATTTTCCAGTAAACCAAAGAAAATCTATTAGATTTTCGAATAATGAATAATTAATAAATCCATACTTCATTAATTTATTGACATCATTCAATGAACAACTTTATTTCATTTTTTGAACATTTAATCAAGCAACAAACAATTGAGATATATAGAAAATTATTAATTTATTAAT